ATTATACAACGAAATATATACGGAAAAAATTCTCTATTGCTTTTTACAGAAGAAATAATTGAAGAACTTCTTGAAGTAGCTAAAACAACAACCCACACTGAACCATCCACTTCTGCTGAAATGTCAAAAAAACCAAGAAAGGACGACGGTAAAATTTTAAGAAAAAGATGCCATGAATGCTTCAGAAAAAAACAACGCGAAAATGGAACCTAGTCGATACTTATTGTGTCCCACTTCAGTTGGCCTAAGTATTGAAATCTTAGTTTTTTTATTATCAAACACAAATAATAAAAATGTAGCAGGGTGTTATAGGTTTAAAATATTAACAATGAATATTTTGATAATATATAGTAGAAAACACAAACTTTATCACTCCCTAATTAAATTTGCAGCTTAAAAATAACAAATGTTGCAATCACAGCATATCATCCTATTTTCATTTCAATGCAAAATAAGTCTATAACGCATAGGTGGCTGTGAAAAATAAAAGCCATGACACTTGTTTTTATTAATCATAGCTATCAGAATACGTTTAAAATAGTTTTGGGTAGTTAAGGTTTTCAAAATGGGCCGAGGAAAGGTTATTAGTGAGAAAATTCGGTTACTGACAATTAAATTCATTAATTCTGGGAAATCAAACTCAGAAATTTCAACTTTGTTAGACTTATTGCGGTACAGTATGAGACATATTGTTAGAAGATATAACGTAACTGGTTCAACAATGGTGTGCACTACAATGGAGTGATGAGGCCCGTTCGAAGTTTGTGTTGGTGACAGTCGCAGTAGAGTTATTCGCAAAAAATGAAGCATTCCATGTTGACTGTCTGAAGAGAAAAGTAAAATTTCCCGCATCCATTATGGTCTGGGGCAGTATGTCATCAAAAAGAGTAGGAAAACTTCATTTTATTGATGGAAATGTGGATACAAACAAATATTTGGCAATTTTAGAAGAATGGCTTTTACCAGTGATGAAAGAATCCGGCCAAGATTTTGTGTTTCAGCAAGATGGTGCAGCGTGCCATACCTCGAAAAACGCTATAAAATGGATGGAAGAAAATAATGTACCAGTTTTGAAATGGGTTTCTAGCAGTCCAGATCTGTCACCTATTGAAACTTTGTGGCACGAGATGAAAAAGGTTCTACGACAACATCCTGCACGTACAATCACCGAACTGAGACAAAAGCTTCAAGAAATATGGGATTGTTTTACACCAAATTTTTGCCAAAACATGATTAACACTATGCCCCAAAAAATTTCAGCCGTAATTACCCAAAGGTAATGTTTCAATTGTTGCTTTGTTAACTTTGTTCAGATGTTCTATTATTTATAGGTCTAAGTGATTTCAAATATGTCTTTTTTACGACTAGAGTGTATCTAAAATGTTTTTGAGAAAATAAATTGTTTTAAAAGTAAATAGTTTCGTCATGTTTAGTTTATAAAGGCATATTTTGGTACAAATCTTGAAGTGGGCCAACTGAAGTGGGAAGGGGCTTGTAGTATGTACCAAAAATAAATACTAGAACACTCACCATTTTTATGTATTTTCAGAATTATGTTCGTTTGTTTTCTAAAACATTTAATAAAGTCGTTTTTAATAAATAAAAGACTTTTTTGGAATCATTTTTACGAACATAAAAAATACGTCATCGAATCATATAAAGGGTGGTCCATTTAAATTTTTTTTTTTAAAAATGCTATAAAAAAAAACTACTAAATATTTTTCCAAATTTTTTTTTATTTGAAAGTACAATCCTTCCGATTAAGTATGGAATACAACTTCATTTAAATGACTGCCGCGGCTGGCTTTGCAGTAGCCCATACGGTCAGTCCAATTTTTGACCACATTTTCAATCGTATGTGGCTGTATTTCAGCAACGGCAGCGCGTATGTTCTCTTTTATTTCGCCAATTGTTGCTGGTTTGTTGGCATAACATTGGTCTTTAATGGCACCCCATAAATAATAATCTAATGGGGTCAAATCACAGCTCCGAGGCGGCCAAACAACATCAGAATTTCGGCTGATAATGCGATCACCGAAAACACTTCGCAGAAGAGCAATCGTAGCGTTGAAACCAGATGTTACCGACATCAATATCTTGAATTTGTGGAAAGAAAAATTCATTTATCATGGTACGGTAACGCTCACCATTCACAGTAACTGCTGCTCCGGCTTCATTTTCAAAGAAAAATGGGCCAATGATGCCACCAGCCCAAAATCCGCACCAAACAGTCACTCGTTCTGGATGCATTGGCTTTTCTTCGATTGCGTGTGGGTTCTCTGAACCCCAAATGCGGCAGTTTTGCTTATTAACATAGCCGCCAAGATAAAAATGCGCTTCATCTGAAAAGATGATTTTTCGACCAAAATCAACATCTTCATCAAGTTGATTGCAGGCCCATGAAGCGAAGCGAAAACGCATTGGATGGTCAGTTGGCTTCAATTGCTGAACCAATTGAACTTTGTACGCCTTCATACCAAGGTCTTTATGCAAAATTCGACCTAATGATGTGCGTGAAATGTTCAATTGTTGAGAACATTGGCGCGTTGATGTGCTTGGAGACTCTGCCACACTCTCAGCTACAGCATCGATATTCTCGGGTGTACGCACCATTTTCGGTCTTTCACGTGTTGGTTTGTCAATAAGAAGACCAGTTTCACGAACTTTTTGCACAAAATACCTCACATACGGTGCTGACGGTGCTTCATTTCTTCCCATTTTTGCACGTAATTTTCGGACACAATCTGCAACATTACCACCACTTTCGAAATATTGTTTTAATATTTCCCAGCGTTGTTCAAGCGAATACACAACCATTTTCGTTAATCGGAATGATATGACTGATGTTCTGTCAAATCAGATGCGAAATAAGTCTTGACATATCCCAAAAAACCAGTAACTCAAAAAAAAACGATAGATGGACCACCCTTTATTATGCATCCTGGAAACAAATTATATTTCGGGATCCAGTCCTCAATATTACATAATTGTGTAGTAGTGGCTTTCCATACTTTTTATCACGAGGTTCAAAGCAAAGGAAAAATGCGCCCGTCCGGTCCTGACTGCTGTTCACCTTGATGATCTAGTGGCGCACCGTCCTATTCGCTTCATTGTGGTTTTCGTGCTTGTGCGACAAGGTTCATTGCGTTCGCTGCCTCAGCTAATAAACAGAGACGAAAAACCGAGTGATATCGCCTGACTTGATACCCCAGGTAATTCTTTTTGAATTATTCTCAAATATTTTCGCCTTTACATAGGAGATTCAGGGCCTATTTAACGGGACTCCTTAGAAGCATCATACAATTTACTTTTATTTCAGCCCGTTTTTTCAGGGATTATTATGGGTAAATCCAAGAGTCATAAGAAGAAAAATCGCTCACCGAGCAACGCCAAGGGTAATAATGATTGCGACACGTATACCTACTTATTAGAAAGAATGGAGAAACTAGAGACCTTAATTAATCGTCGCAATTCAAGATCTCTGTCCACTTCTTATTCAACCCATAGTCGTTTGTCACGACAAAGGCGTCGCTCAGAACACACACGCAGTCCAAGCGTGTCGTACCGTCGTCGCATGCCGCGTCGATCGATTTCGAAATCGAGAAGTCGTTTCCGCTCTGGCGCTTCTCACTCTTCCTCCCATCGTAATCGGAGAGAGAGAGAATCTCGATCGCCGATGACACCGATCCATGCTCGAACCTTGCCGGTTCAAGATGAGGAGCAGCTATCTAAATCTCTCCAGCTGGTGAATGCAACGTTGCCACGTGCAGAAGCAAATACCGAAAATATGGATTGCGGAGACGACACTTTGATCTTATATAACGATGTAACCTTACCTGAGGACATCTTAAAGCTTATGGGAAAAGATGTAAATACAGACCAAAGCGCTGTTTTTTCCCTGCACGATCAACTTACTACGATCTGGCAAACTATTTTGACTAATGGCTTGAAAAAATCTGATGCTCAAACGCTTTTTAATGCATACCAAACATCAGAAAAACTATCATTCCTTCGACCTCCCGAATTGAATCCGGAAGTAAAGGCTGCCTCGTCAAAACAAAACATCTCTGTGGACGCATCTTATGTCGAGATGCAAAATCAACTAGGAAAAGGCCTGGCTGCACTAGGTAGATCAATTTCCACGATTCTCATTGATTTAGAACATATGCCAGATCAATTCAAGGGCGATTTCCTTACTAATCTATGTGATAGCGGACGAATTCTAACGAATCTCTTCCATCGCATGTCGGTTACACGAAAGAACCTTCTCGTTCCTGGTCTAAAAATATCTAAAGAACTGGCAGATGACTGCCTACCCGGAGAATTTCTTTTTGCTTCTAATTTAACTCAGAAATTAGACACAGCAAAATCTCTTCTAAATGTGAGTAAGGATCTGAAACTCCCGACTTATCAGAATAAAGTGGGCGCTTCTAAACCAGCACTCGCTCCCAGAAGGGCACAAAAAGGAGGAGGGGGACAAACCCGAGCTGTCTATACAGACACCTCAAGATCATCAGGGTCTTTAAACTCTCGCCCCCCGACTCACCGATTGGGGGCAGTGAGTCACGAGAGGGGCCCCTCATCCAGATTTCACAAAAACACCTATTGGAACAAACCACAAGAGAAGAGGAGACGACATTAGAATTGGTAAGCAACTATGCAGGTCGCTTGAATTCTTTTTATCAGAAATGGTTAACCCTTACTGACAATCGTATTGTTTTGGGTTGGATCTCAGGATATAAATTACCATTTGTTAAAACACCTATTCAGCCACAAATCCCAAATAACGCTAATCATTCATATGATGAAAACCAATTAATCGGTTCCGAAATTAGTAGGTTACTAAATTCTGGGGCTATAGAAAAGTGTCACGGTAATGTAACTGGGCAGTTTGTTTCTCCCATTTTTTAACCGACAAGCCTAACGGTGGAAAACGCTTTATTTTAAACTTAAAGCGATTAAACGAATTTATCTACGCTCCGCATTTTCAGCTAGAAGACGCCCGAACAGCAAGTAAGTTAGTGCATCGTGGCAACTATGGAGCCACGCTAGACTTGAAAGACGCCTACTATATGCTAGCAGTTCATCGTGACCACAGAAAATATTTACGATTTTCTTTCAAGGATGTTTTATATGAGTTTACTGAAACCAATCGTCAACCACGTGAGAGCCAGGGGCGTACCCTGCGTAATTTATCTGGATGACTTTTTGGTTTTGGGACCATTGACGAGTGTTCTAGAAACATTCGTTTGGTTGCTTCTCTTCTAATTTCTCTGGGATTTGTTGTCAATTGGCAAAAGAGTGTCCTCTCACCTTCTACGGAATTTAAATTTTTTGGGTTCATTTTTAATTCTATCGAAGTGACCATAGAATTACCACCAATAAAACGTCAAAAATCTCAAATTGGATAACGTTTTTTTAAAAAACGCACTCTACTTGTAAAATTGTAAAGTTAGCCCAGTTTCTCGGGTTGCTTACATTCGCTTGTCCAGCAGTGAAGTACGGATGGTTGTATACCAAAATATTAGAAAAGGAAAAGGTCCTTGCTTTGTGCCAACACTCCCAAAATTACAATGCAACTATGTGCATTAACCAGACGATAATTGAAGAACTTTATTGGTGGGAACACCATATCAATACTGCTAAAAATGATCTTAAACGAGATCATTTTCACCGAGAGATCTATACAGATGCTGGTTTGTCAGGTTGGGGCGCCTTTTGCCAAGGCGAAAGTAGCTATGGTCGATGGACGGAACAAGAATCAAATATTCACATAAACATTTTGGCACTAAGAGCTATATACTTTGGCCTAAAATGTTTTGCCAGAGATTTATCAAATTGCAACGTTCTTATTCGAACGGACAATTCCACGGCACTAGCTTATGTCAATAAAATGGGCAGCGTGCAGCACCCGCAATTAAATGAATTGACAAGAACCATCTGGAAGTGGTGCGAATCAAAAAATTTATGGATATTTGCTTCCTACATTCCTTCATCAGAGAGCTGGCAAGCAGACCGTGCGTCTCGCGTTTTGCATACCGAGACAGAGTGGTATCTTAACCAACATGCCTTTGATGCAATAGCTCAAACTTTTGGGATCCCTGATATCGATTTGTTCGCGTCCGTAGCTAATCACAAATGTGATAGATACATGTCTTGGTTGAGAGATCCTAGCTCGGATGAAATTGATGCTTTCACTGTCTCTTGGAAATACTTGAACTTTTACGCGTTCCCACCCTTTTCAGTGGTTCTGAGAACCTTACAGAAAATTATCAGTGACGAAGCATCAGGTATCTTGGTGGTTCCTCTTTGGAAGAACCAGCCATGGTACCCATTATTTATACAATTAATTATAAGAAATCCAATCTACTTTGGACCCTCAAGTAATCTCCTGCTTTGCCCTTTCAGCCAAAAGAAACATCCATTATCGGAAAACTTTATCCTGGTGGCGACCAGATTGTCAGGCAAGCTTTTCAACGAAAAGGGATTCCTCCGGAGGCTGTAGACACCATGATGAACTCCTTGAGTGACAATACGATTTCTCAATACAACTGTAGCCTAAGACTTTGGTGGGAATTTTGTCAACTGAGGGACATATTCCCTTTTAAATACGACGTACCCAATATTATTTCATTCCTACAGCAGGTTATGAACACATCAAATAATACTTATAGTTCCTTCAATTCCCATAGGGCGGCTCTTTCCCTTATCACTTCTAGCGATTTAGGGACAAATACAGAGGTAAAACGATTTATGAAAGGAATTTTTCGAACTAGACCGCCTAGGCCTAGATATAATTTTACGTGGAATCCTCAAGATGTACTTAAGTTTTTAAATAAACCGCCCGATAAAGATCTAAGATCCGTATCCTGTAAATTAGTTGCTCTCTTAGTGTTAGCTACCGGACAGAGAATCCAGACTGTTGCTCTTATTAGATGTCCTAATATTAAATTTTCTACCTCAGGGGCAGACATCCAAATCCCCGATTTTGTGAAAACTTCAGGGCCTAAAACACTTCAACCTAAGTTGTCATTGCCATATTTTCATGAATGTCCTAACTTGTGTGTTGCTTCTTGCCTACATCAGTACCTGGAACTAACTAAACCACTCCGCCCTGCCGATTGTGATAAGCTATTTCTCACCTTCAATAAACCACATGGCCCAGCTACTAAGCAAACCTTGAGTCGCTGGGTAAAAAATACAATGGCAAAGGCAGGAATCGACACAAATATGTTCAAACCCCATTCCTCAAGGCACGCTTCCACTTCATGTGCGCTAAGACAAGGGGTGCATATAGATGCAATACGCAGATCAGCTGGTTGGAGCCAGGACTCTCAAACCTTTGCAAGGTTTTACAATAGACCTCTAGTAAAGAAAGACAATTATTTAACATCTGTCTTGAATCTATTATCATCAGAAACATAGAGGATATACTTACGGTTATTTGAATTTGTTTAACGTTTGTATCAACTTTTTCGTTTTTCTTAAAATAAAAGTTGCTTCCACCTGTCTTACTGCAACTTCCTTTAAACAGCTACACAATTATGTAATATTGAGGACTGGATCCCGAAATATAATTTATCGATCAAACGAACTTACCTGAAGTTCGATCGTAATTATATGAGGGTCCAGTCCGAAAATATTACAAACCCTACCCCTACCCGCCCCTGAGAGTTGCAGGTAATACATCTGGATACTTTGAAGAATGAAGCGAATAGGACGGTGCGCCACTAGATCATCAAGGTGAACAGCAGTCAGGACCGGACGGGCGCATTTTTCCTTTGCTTTGAACCTCGTGATAAAAAGTATGGAAAGCCACTACTACACAATTATGTAATATTTTCGGACTGGACCCTCATATAATTACGATCGAACTTCAGGTAAGTTCGTTTGATCGATAAATTAAAGTGTAATATCTTTTTAATACGCCCATGCTATAATCAGCTGCTTAAATATCACGTCCAATTTTTAACATATCGTAAGGCAAAGCAAGTACAATGCATCACATATGATTCAAGGGCGTGTAAATAAACATGTCCAATGAATCGCATATGATTCATGGAGAGTTATCGTGTTAATTTAGTGGCCAAACATTGAGTCATCTCAACACACTTGTTCGAGCAATGCAGTAGCTTACCCGTGAACATTTCGTCCAAATACTGCAAATCGGACCTCTATGCCAGATATCACTGGAAATCGCTAAACATTTTTTATGATTATCTTTCGTTTAATTTAGGATACAGTCTTAAACTACTGAGGTCCAGATCTGGCGAGTATGTTAGACCAATTCAAAGCCTGTTAAAGGGGGAACCATAACAATGCAAGAGGTACAGCTGAGACCATTATCCTCTGAAACAATACGCCACTTTTTAACTTTCCCCAATATTTCGCCTAAAAAGGATCCCGCAGTTTAAAGATGAGGTTTGCATAATAAGTCCCTAGAATGCTACAAGTCCATCGTTTAGCACCATATCATGGACTTTCTAATACCTTGGCTGCTCAGTACCAGGGCACGCTGAGATAAAGGTCATGAGGATCACGGATATCTAGACACTCTCTGAAACTAAGAAGTATTTCTAAACATCTCCGTCAGGCACGGGAACGTATCTTGGGGCTTAGTGCTATGGACGCTTTTGCATATCTTCAGATGAAGCCAATCTAAGGTGGGACTGTTGTCTGGCCATAATGGTTTAATGTATTTCAAAGGGCGCCATATCCTTTTAGAAGACATACGTCAAAACGGATCGACGCATATACCTAATATTTTGTTGTTAACGTTCTCTACTAGGATCACTTATTTTTATTTCAACAACCCTCCGCAAAAAGGGCAAGTTTGGACCACACAGATAAGTCCTTGTGAAGAAATAGGATCTCAGAGGACCCAAGTGTAGACATGCTCCTCACCTTATTCGAATGTCCAGAGTGTATGTCCAAGAAATAAACGTCTATTAGTGCGAAGAAGCCCAAACTATAAATAAAAACTTCATGAAATTTTAATAGAAGGTAAATTGATCTATTGGTCTACTATTGAATGGTCTCGAATCAACACTTATACAGCCTTTTCAATACAAATAACTCGTAAAGCACCACTTTCAACTTACAGAGTTATATAAATATAACCTTGCTCCTATTCAACAATTACCCATCTATTAAAAAACAAATATGTAAGAAGTTCTATTACCTTTCCTTTGTTCTCCCTGTGAATATCATAATAGTTTTACGAAGCATTTACCATAAATCCTTCATGAAATTATTGGGACCATGAAATATGTAAGAATGGTTAAATTTCATATGCCAGCGTTCAGGAATATCGACGATTTAATTTTCAAGATGGTATCCAGAAGTTCGGTTAGCTTGATAAACGGAAATGGTTTTCATGGCATCAGTGATATTCAAAAAGATCTGTTTATTATGGGTCGTTTGTCAAGACCAGTGTCAGCAAGCAAATGCAATCTAAAGATCATACCCGAAACCACCTGGAGCCAAGAGGTAGATTCTTATGTATGACCTCTGACACCAGGCTCAAATGGAACCTCGGCAACAAGATCACAATCTGTTATTAGATATAAAAACGTGGCTGGCTCTATGGTTATCAACTATAGGGCTGTTCCAAAAATTCGAACATCGAAATTATTCAAAGATTCCAAAACAAAGTTCTGAGGAACATGGTCAGTGCGCCTAGGTATACTTGTGATAGGATCATTCATCGCGATTTGAATATCCTTCTGGCTTTCGATGATATCAAGATTGTAGTGGCCAGACACGAAGAACGGCTACATCAGCACGTCAAGTGCAGAAACTTTTCAGACGCTGGAGAACCACAATGTTGTCAGGCGATTAAAGATGCCTTGTGTCTAAGGGCCGTATCGTCAGTCGTTCCCACAATTTGTAGGACGCCTTTATGGCCTCCTTGATTTTCATAGCTTTCCTGTCCTTCAGAAAGCCACCTTGTTTTGAGGTTATGTTACAAATATCTATTTGCATCAAATTGTTCATGCTTTTGATTTTTATCATCTGCTTTATCAGCCTGAAATTTCCTATAATTTGAAAAGGATTAGAACAGTAGGGATCTAGAAATACCACAGCCTTTCTGAAGGAGAGAAAAGTTATGAAAATCAAGGAGGTCATAAAGGAGTCCTACAATTATATTTACTAACCATGTCGAACTGGTCAGTACGATTGCTCGCTCCTTTGTCGCTAGGCTGTCGAAACTATGCAACAATCTGCCTGAGGAGGCTTTAACTAGATCTGCCAATCATACACAGTTCAAAATGAGATTACCGAAGAATCTTTGAGCTCCTTATAGCATCCGCCGCGTCCCGGTATTTAGGCTTCTATCTATGCGGCTGCTCCGGTTCGAAAAACTATTTTGTGATCTGCTGCTGTCTCATAACGATATAGTTTCTTTAATATCCCCTTTTGGATGCCAAATACAGTATTGTGCTTGGCTATTTTCAGGTAGAATCTGTTAGTCAATGTACTAACTAAATACCATAGAGAAGGTATAGTAGAAAGCCAGGAATTTCTGGGTCTTCACATGGACCAAACACTTTCTTGGGAAACACTCATAGCTTTTGTTGCTAGCAGGCTTAACTCGGATTACTTTGCATTAAGGAACCTACGGAGAATAGTTAGTCGAAGGTGTCACCTAGATATTTTGTTTGCGGTGGCATATTGACACACGAGGTACTTGATTATATATTGGGGAATTTCTTGTGACATACAGAGAATATTCATTCTACAAAAGAGGCTGATTGGATTACTATTTCGTTTCAATCCACTGGACAGCTGTAGACCAGTATTTAAAGACAATAATATTTTAACGTTATCTACGAGTAATGCTTATTTGTTAAAGGAATGCACGCCTATGATACTAGACATAATGACCATATTCATACTGAAAATTTCGGTCTCAGGGTTCATAAAAGGAGTCCGATGTATTTATGTAATGACGTGTATAATAAACTACTTTTAGATATTATGCAGATTACCAGCTTACCTGTATCTTTGTTTAAAAGTAAACTTAGGAACCTTCTGCTAAATATGGCATTTTATAGTACAAATGAATTTTTCTGCGAGTAACTCGTTATCTTTGTATGTGTTTCTGTATCCCAATTTTTTATTGTATTAGCTATTCACATCTTAGACCTATTCGACGTTTCGTATCCTATTCACGGGCTCTCACAAATGAAGCATTATTCTATCCTATTATAATGATAATACTGTCCACACTTTTCTCCCAAAGATCCCGTTACAACAGTGTTGAAGTGAATATTTTGGCAACATCCACTGCAGGCGGAATCGAGGATTATCATATAAACTCGCCCGCATCTCGCGAAAATGAGCCATCAACGATCGGGAGTGTTCCGCATAGCATCTAGTAACGAGCCGGTATCAGTGGCAGCATGGCTACGGCTAAATGCGAAAGCTTAAACAATGCGACATCGGTTCTGTCAGCATACACTGCTACTTCAAAATTTTAATCGACTCTAATATGTCAGGCGTAATTCTGAAACATCATTGTCTGTCAAGCGAAAGAATGCGAGAGGGAAAACGCCAGACCCAACTAGCATTTTGTTAAAATGAGCTACCATCCAAGAAAAAACTACCTATGTTTGTCACATTTCAGTAATTATATCCTTGAATCATGTTCTCAAAAGTTGAATTGTCTTGAGAGTTGAAAAAATTGGTAATTACATACCAAATTAGGCTCCTAATAGATCTTTGTCCTAGAAGTGAAATTGGTTGGTTCAAAACTACATAAAGCACACCTGTAGCACACTTGTCAAAAGCACTTGAAGAATGTTTGACCTTGAAGACAAATCTAGAGGTCATAGGTTACCTAATATTAATCTAAAATTATCTTGATAGGTAATGCAAAATAAGATTTCCTAGTAAGCTTGCAGCATAGATTGGTAAGAACTAGTCAAAATAACTACTAAATAACCATATTGTACACCTTGAGGTTACAAGGATTATTTTAGTAAATGTTCATCTAGTTTTCGACATTGACACTAACTTTGAAGGAAAAGTTTCTATCTTTGCAAACTACTGAGTAGAAGTTAAATGTAAATATGTATTTATATTTATATTACCTAAAAATAGCTTTTCATGACAATTTAGTTTTCCCGCCTCCCTCTAACTGATTTTTGATGACTGTTTGGTTCTCGGTTCTTTTAATTTGCAACGTGCTTACCTATGCGTCCTAGTTTCTTCAGTGATATTTGAATATGACTTATAAGATGTTGAAAATTTAAGCCGAAAGAGACTCAGCTATCACGTTTCAGAACCCACCCTTTTTTTCTTCGTAACAAGAGATTGAAAAGAGAGAACGATCCTTGTCAGGAATGTTTTCCTATCGCATACGCGCAATACGTAGTGGGATTGTAGCAGCGATGTCTTTTAAGTTTTGCATATAGAAACATAGTAGGCCGCGCGGATCGAACGTCAGTACTGAGTCTTAGCGTCACTCTTTAGTAAACCTAAATTCAACGTTTCACAACAATACGTGCAGTGTTCTCACTACAGTGAATTTTTAAGTGTCACCAAGTCATTAGAAAAATGGAACTCAACTGAGAACATTTTCGCGCCATAATTTATTACACCTTTCAGACACAATTATCGCAACAAGAATGCCTTGCTGAGTTACTGTCTGTTTTCGGCAACGAAGCGCCACATCAGTCAACAATTTTCCGTTGGTATGGAGAATTCAAACGTGGACGGGTGACTCTTAGCGATGATCTCAGGGAGGGTGCACCAAAAACGGCAGTCACCCAGGAAAACGTCGATGCTGTGCGCAAACTCATCATTGAAGACAGACGCATGACATATTGTGCGATTAAGGGGTCCTTGAAGACCTCAAAGACCTCAACTCAAAAAAATTTACATGAAGAATTAGGAGTAAGAAAATTAGTTTCTCGCTGGATACCCCACCTGTTGACTGACAGAAAGCAGCCAGGGTTAATTGGTGTCAAAAAACGCTTGACCGTTTCAATCCCGAAAACTCAAAAAATGTGTACAGCGTTGTTAGTGGTGACGAATCATGGACTTACAATTACGAACCAGAAAATGAGCGACAGTCGGCTGTTTGGGTGCTCCAAGGTGAAGAAAAGCCAACAAAAGACATCCGTTCTCGAAGTGTTTCGAAAAAGATGGTCGCGACATTTGTGTCAAAAGCGGGTCATATTGCAACAATGCATCTTAATGAGCAAAGAACTGTTACTTCGGATTGGTATACCACCATTTTTTTGTGAAAAGTCATCACCGAGCTTCGAAAAATCAACCCCGAAAGAAGAATCATCCTCCACCAAGACAATGCAAGCTCGCACACAGCCTAAAAAACAAGGCAGTATTTAACGGAAGAAAACGTGGAATTATTGGACCATCCTCTATATAGTCCCGATCTAAGTCCTAACGATTTCTTTACTTTCCCGAAAATTAAAAACAGACTGCGTGGTGAAAGGTTCCAGTCACCAGAAGAAGCAGTTGACGCATTCAAAAATGCCGTTTTGGATCTGCCAGCAAACGAGTGGAATAAGTGCTTCGAAAATTGGTTCGAGCGCATGCAGATGTGTATTAATCTTCGTGGAGAATACTTCGAAAAACAATAAAGTCATTTAAACATCCTTCGTATGTTAGTAATTCCCACACATCTTGCCAGCTACGGGAAACTAACAAATACATCGTACATACATTAGTCTGAAATATTATTTATTGTCAAACTGTTTGCTCAAAAATAAAAACCAGGGCCTAGTTTCACCTTGGTTTACAATTTAACCTCTAAGTAATTGTTAGGTTTGAAGTTGGATAAATTCAAATATCCATTAAAAAATGCATGCTATTTCGACCTGCATTCTGGTAAAGATGTATTATTGATTAGAATTGATGAAGAAAAATCGCTAGAGGACGCAATTCTGAAAATGGACATATTTGATTTCGTAGTTGGGGTTTTCCTTTACACGACGTGTAGATCTTGAAAACATAAGCAATTTTTCTTAGTACCATATATACCAATGTCTTAAGGGAACCGAGATAAAGGGCTCTGCAACATCAAAAATATCTGAATACCGTCCTGTAGCCGCGACCCGTCTGGATATCCCCGACACCCCGACTGGTACAAGGTCTCAACCCGACGGCAGAACTGGGTCGGGGTCAGTGTGTCAGGTTAGTATGCAACCTTCAACCGACGGCTACAGTCACGCGTGTAGAGGTCAACGAACTCGTATAATCGATTCCGTTTAAAAAAACAAGCACTAGAGACGTGGCTCTAGAGAAGTGCAAGTATCAAAAACTAAAGTGTGGCAAACGCTGCGTGAAGAGGGGCTGTATCCGTTTCACGTCCAACGTGTACAAGCCCTTCAACCTGACGATTTTCCAGCAAGAGTGCGGTTTTGTGAGTGGTTGTTGCATCAACATGACAATAATCCGGACTTTTTGAAGTACATATTGGTGACAGACGAATCTACGTTCACGCGTAATGGGGTGAATAACTTTCGCAACACTCATGTTTGGTCATTTTCAATAAACATTTTCGGTGAATGTTTGGGCTGGCATGGTGAACGGTATGCTCATTGGACCATTTATTCTCCCAAATCGATTGGACGGGATGCAATACCTAGACTTTTCATGCAACATTTTGCCTTCCTTGTTAGAAGATGTGCCATTAAGTGTAAGACAATCAATGTGGTTTCTGGGTCTGCTCGGTAGCGCTCCAGCTGATTTCATTTTCTGTTGGAGCGGTATGATTTCGGGCAGAGACGTACTTAGCCCTTCTCGTCAACTGGAGAGTGAGTACTTTTTCCTTTATTTTTTTTTACTTGGTCGCCCTCGTTTCACTACACATTACCTTTGTGATTTCAAGGGTAGTTGTTTCTGAAAAGGAAAACCCCAACTTTGCACTCTTTTTCATATTAAGACATGAACGCTATTCATTACATATTGTTACTTTTTCCAAAAATACCTGTCACCCAAAAGCATTACTTTTCACATAATTAATACCTTAAAATTGCTAAGAAAATTAGCATTTCAAGATCTAATATCTCAAGTTGATATATATTGACTAAAATTGAAAATCAAGTTATAATTCTGTAAGTGTACTGGCATTATATTACATAAAAAAAAATCGATATAATGCTGTTAAAAATCGGTATAATGTCAACTTGTGTAATAAGTAGTCGCTAGCCCATTCGGCACCTACTCGCTATGAGCGCCACCTATGGAGGAATGGCACAACGTTCGTCATCGCAGCAATAGTATAGAACATACAGCATAGACCGTAGAAGGTATGAATGACTCCCGCTAGTGCCATCTCTGAAGCAGATGTTACATCAGATCGTATGGTGGGTCAGACGTGAAGCTGACGGGTCTAGAGAGACATTCACTTTCCTATATTGTTGTATTGAAATGTTGAATAAAGGTATACATATATTACCAAATTAAGTATTGCATTACTTTGAGTATTGCATCATTTCTTTCTTTACACTACTTCCAGGCGAGCGGAGCCGAGGGCTTAGGCTTTTATCGGCATAACGAGGAAAAAAAATCTTTGCTGAGGTCGAATGCCAGCCATGGAAAACCAGAAGAAACGGTTCCCTTGCGTCTTGGTCAGTATGTAAGGTATGAATACATATTTGATATTACTATTGCCATTTCAGTGCATTATGTATTTTTAACGACAAGCTTCCTAGTTAGACTGAACTATAACTTTTTCGCTGCATTTCATTCACAGTGCATTAATATTTATGCAGCACGGCTCCACCATTTATGGGAAATTATTTAAAAACAGGCTAATATTTTTACAACCGGGAAAGCTTTATGACGATTATATTTATTTCTGATTATCTATGTTAAGCTTATCTCTTCTATAAGGTTCAAAACTCACATTTAATACTTTTGTTTTATGTTGTAGTTTGAGGCTGTCTTGCCGTTTATACTGTTTTGCTTTTACGATGTTGTGTCTGAAATAGTTTCAAGCAAAAATCCAGGCAGATGTTTTACCCCTTTTAAGAGTAGTACGTGTGTAAAACCCATTCTTACATAAGAAAGTTGAAGGGCTCAAGCTATCAAAGTGGAGTACAGAATGATGAATTTCAGCATCAAAACAATATTTAGAAAGTATGGCACCTAGGTATCATATTGATTGTATAATAGCACAGTATACAAGATTTTCCATTTTAATCTTAATCTAAATATTTCGGAAACTACGCATCCTAGAAAGAGGTTTCACACAAAAGTTGTAGGGTTTTGAGGGGACAAAATGATGGTGACCTAGACCATGACTTTCACCGTGATATTTACGGTCATTTCAAAGTCAGAGATGGAATCCTCACTTTTTTACACCGGAATAAGAAATCTACGTCCGAATATGACCTTGACCTTAACCCCCGTAATCATGAGCTACGGGGCCATTTCAAGTTCAAGACATTGAAAACAATTTGCTCTATCAAAAATGTTCGACAACATAGTTGTGGGGTTTGGCCAAAATTTTCAAAGGAAATCTCGTATTTTTATAATCCCAAGTCTGGCCAATGAAACCACATGTTTGAAAGGTCAATAACATGCCGAGATGGCGTGAAGCCATCATTCAAAATTTTAAAATTGCACCACGCAAAACCAGCATAGGCCAGGACCAACAAGCGAGCATGAGGTTAACTGTCGGTTTTTTGATGTACCAGACACGTCCTTCATTCCGAAAGCATCACAATCACAGTTAATTAATGAAATGGGGTAGTTTTGGTCCAAAGAGCGGGAGGATGCGATGTATCCACGAAACGTGTATTTTCCCCAGAATATCGTATTTCCAAAAATTCCTTAAATTTGGGGGAAAATGGCCCAATATGGCAGCGCTGCTAAAACACCACTGTCACTCCAGGCGTTTCTCTTCATTTTTACACCACGAACAGCACAGTTTCTCCTGGACTTCTTGCTGAATAAACTAGAAGTCGGGTAGTTTGCTTTTGTAATGTACTTGTTCAATAACAAATCTAGATTTTATAATGAGTTGACGCTATTGGATCTTCCATCGTATGTTTGTTTGAAATAGTATCTGATTTCAAATAAATACTAATTATCCTCTAGTTGAGTCTTGAATATGAAACCAAACTTTCGAATGTATCAATAGCGGTAGACAAATGTGACATAAAGTTAAATGTGAGTGGTGCCCTGCTCTTCTTTGAACATGAAGAAACGAGAGCGCATCCAGCAAAGTGAAAATGTGTCTTTTGAAGTCTCACACGACCCGATGCGAAGGCGTAGCTTGCCTTTTTCCGCGATGCCTGTGTCCGTACATATTTAGACACAGTCTCTTTCTCCTCAAAGAGATTCAGCGACTGAAACTTTAGGTGTATGGAAGACAAACACAGGTTAGGAATTAGAGTGACTATACGTGAAGTAATATTTCGAAGTAGAATTATAATAATATAATGGTTATTGTTATTGTTATTGATGTTAATGATCAAAGCATCTGGTTGTTGTAGAATCCATTTCTTGAGTTCTCTTCTAAATGATCCAATTTATTTAGTTTTAAAGTTATAGAACTTCGGCGCCAAGAAAAAAAAGATCGTTGTGTAATGGTTTTTGATGTTTGTGGAATACACATATTGGATTTTGAATGAATCATGTTCTGTAGTTTTGAATTATACGATTCAAGTGTCTTGAATGTTTAATGTAATGTACTAAGCCACTATAAAAATAAATTTGTCTGCAATCTAATACTCGAGCCTCTCGATATAAAAAATAACTTGGATTAGTAACCTCCTTATGGAGGATCAACTTTAGAATTAATTTTTGGATTATATTAACCTTTTTGTAATTATTATCCATAACTCCCCCCAAGCCTAAGTGGTAGAAAATAAATAAGAGCACAATAAAGATTGTATAGATATTTCTCATTCAGGATATCTCTACAATGAGAATTTTGGAATAATACATCTCAATGTCTTCACCAGGCACTCTGTATGGGCATTTCATTTAAGTGTTTGTCCAAAATTACGCCTAAGTATTTTATTCTATGGGTTGATTGAATGCCTTTGAGACTACTGCTTATATGGAATTCAAGCTTACTAAATTGTGGTGAGAGCCTGTCGACACAAGAGAATGATTTAGGTATAACGTGTTTTGTTGTAAATAATTGTCATAGTTCTTTCCGAAAAGAAATTTCTAAGCGTTTTGTAGTTATTTTCGATTTTGGTTTTCAGTGTATCCCACTGGTTACTTTCATAGAGAATAGCTGTATCATCCGCAAAACCGCACTTCTTATTTTCAACAAGTCGTTGATAAATAGATTAAATGAAATGGGTCCTAATACTGTGCCTTGAGATACACCGTACGATACGATATGGGGTTTACGGAATGTATTATTAATTTTGACGCACAGTGTTCTATTTGACAAATAAGTTTTCATAAGTTCGTATGTCATGCCAAGTCAACAAAAACGCATGCTGTAGTTGGTTTGCCAATATCGAGATACTCTGTTACTTGTTAATTCTAGAATAGCATCTTGAGAAGATTTGCCTTCTTGAAGATCATATTGCTGTTCCGCTATTCAAGTATACTTATTTGCAAATTCGGTGAATCGCTTTCTTAACACTTTTTCAAATATTTTAGCTAAACATTGCTGAAGATGGAAATTTGTCGGCAGTTGTTGGATTTTCTCTTTCTTCAGATTTTAATAATGGTTTTATCATAGCGTGTTTTAAACTTGTAGGGAAATATTCCTTTATTC